CTTTCCACACCCCGGCCTCCCCGCCCTTGCCCGCCCCCACCTCGACCCACTTCCGGGATAGGCCCCAGGCGCGTCACAGGCACCGCCCTCCAGGTCTACCATTGGCTACCAGGTTCACGAGGCCCCGCCCAGTCACGTGAAACGCGCCCTGGCAACCCCACGTGCTGCGGATTCGTACACTTCCGGCGTGGAGAGCACTTTCAGGGGTCAGGTTGCTGAGGGTAAAGTCGCCCGCAAGGAAACTTGCTCCGACAGACCCCCAGGTTCATTGTGTCCGGGTCCCTATTGGGTCCGAACCCCGCGTTCAGTGGCCACTGCCTTCAGGTGCGTGGCGGGTGTCACGTGACAACTCGCGAGGTGCGCGAATTCCGCGGGGGGTCCCTATTGGGTCCGAACCCCGCGTTCAGTGGCCACTGCCTTCAGGTGCGTGGCGGGTGTCACGTGACAACTCGCGAGGCGCGCGAATTCCGCGGGGGGCACCACGTGGCAGAGGAGGGAATTTAAGGTTCGAACACTAAGCCCAGATTAACAGCCCCTTGGGGTTCCTCGAAGAACAGCCCACCGGTATTATTATTATTTCCCCCCCACCGGTATTATTTTATTACCTGGCTCCAGCCCCATAGATTATGCTAGTCACGGTCACTGGTGGCATGCCAGAGTCAGTCATGCTGTTAGGGGTAGGAACTCTGGAGGCAATCTTGATATAAAAACGATCAATGAAATGATCAAAGCCCCTTCTCACAATGGGCTATTATGGAGCTCTGGAGTTGTATGATTTGAGCTCATTGTCCTGTTTCAAAAGGTATCCCGTCAAAAATGAGGAGCTGATGTTAAGGGCTCAAGTAGAAAGCAAATGTTTTGAGAATGATGGTGGCAACAAATGTACAAATGTCCTTGACACAATGGATGGATGGAGTGTGATAAGAATTGTACCAGCTCCCAATAAAAGGATTTGAAAAAACAAAAATTCTCCCGCCAACTCACCCCTTCCATGGCTTTAGTGTTCTTTTGGTGTGGGTCTTGCCCAGTGCCTACATTGTCTGAAGTGGCTAGACTGTCTTCAGAATTGACCTAGAGCAGGTAGAGGCGTGAATAGTATTAGGGACTAGGAGGTGCACGCCCTTTTTTCTCAGTTCCATTTCACATCCCCCGTTTTCTTTGCCCAGCCCACAGCCTAATTTGTGGTCCTTTGATTTTGTATTATTGTCATATGAGTAATCCTGTCACAATTTTCTGTGGATCTATAGTTTATATAAAGCAGTTCACATGCATTGTCTAATTTAAATGTCACAACAAGTTTAACTCAAATTGAGCTCAGCTTCCAACTGATCCATGAGAGAACCAGATTAGAACTACAGGTTGAGTCCCCTCTGTTTTTCCAAACATCGCAAAACTCTTCTCTATTATAGTTGAACGGATTGCTAATTTTTAAGGACTAATTATGTGGGGAGGAGCCTTGGTGGTGTAGTAGTTTCGAGTTGGACTGCCATCTTCATGGTTGGCAGTTCAAACCACCAGCTGCTCCACAGGAGAAAAACTGGGCTTTGTACTCCCAAAAACAATTAGTCTCGGAAACCCACAGCGAGTCATTAAGAGTCAGCATTGCCTCCGTGGCGGGTGATTTTGGTTTTGGGTTTAATTATTTGGGTGCGAATTGTGTTAAGTGTTTTATGTGCATTTTTCATTAGAGGTTGATGCTACTCTTCCCTTACCCCCAACCTCCTAATTTAAGATATAGTTTAAAGTAAAATTCCCTGTTGTTAGTTCTATGAACTTGAGGAACATGTAGTTCTGGACTGACCACTATAATCTATAGACTATTTCTCTCACTCCAAAGGTTTCCTCATGCCTCTTTGTTTTCAGAGTATTCTCCACCCCAGCCCTTGGCAACCCTTCACAGCCACCCATATTTCCATCTTTTGTTAAGAAAACAATCAGAGAAAAAGTAAGTACCTTGTGCCCAGAATCACACAGCCAGCAAGTTAGAGAACTAAGATTGAAATCTATGCAGTTAGACTTCTCTAACCACCAAAAAATAATGCATTTGCATATGATTTAAATTTGGAATCAAAATATAAAGCATTATTCATCTAATAAATATTTCTTTGTGCACCTTTGGCTCTGGAATTACTATATTGACAAGACAGTCTCTGATCTATCAGGATCCTGTAATCTAACACAGGAGACAAACTGGAAATTTAACAAAGCTACTATAGCATTAACTGAGAGGTTGAACGTGGAGGAAGGGCTGCACACCAGACAGAGGAAGGCCGGGGCAGCACAGAGGCCCCTCCTGTCGGTCCCAGGACTTTTGGCACCAAGATGAGAGGTTGGAGATGGAGGCGCAGAACAGAAATACGTAGACTTTAGCCAGGAATGTGAAGTTGAGAAAGATTTTATTGAGGCGGGGAAAGAACTCCCAGGAGTTAGGTCAGGGAAATCGAGCCTGGCAGTGGGACATATATAGGGCTTGAGCCAAGGACGTATGTACTGATAAGGGTAAGGAAGGCCTCTGGTGCTGAGTCAGGATGTGGTCTGTGAGTAAATAATCATCCCAGAACACTGAGGGGAGGGGCTGTTCAGACCTGGCCTGGAAAGATAAGCTGGAAGTGGGGACTAAACAGTCCAGCTGCCTTGGAGTTAATTCCAACTCATAGTAAACCTACATAAATCTTTATCAAGGCAGACAGCCTCATTTTTCTTCAAAAGAGTATCCGCTGGGTTTGAAACACAGAACCTTGAGGTAGCAGTCCAGTGCTTACTAGACAGTGTCACCAGGGTCCCTTTGTGGGAGACCGTCCTCTACAACTGAATGGGTTCCTAGGGGGTGATTTTGTAATTGAGGGGTAAGCTAAAAAAACAGCAGACAAAGCATGCAAGGGCTCACCTCTTCCATGGAGGCCCGGACCAGAGAGGGGGTGAATGTATTTTCTTAACAGCCTTATATAATCTCAGGCATGCAAACCATGGCATACACATATGTAACAGAAAGGGGATGTATTGGAGGCAAACACATAACAGAAAGGGGACGAGCTTAGGGTATGTAGGCAACAGGAAAGGGGACGTGCTAAGGACATACCTGTGACAGGAAGGTACATATACAACAAGATGGGTGGGTTCTAGAGTTAAGATGGTAGCCTAACCTTGGCTGCCCCTGAGCTGACTTGACCTTAGGTGTCCCTGAGCCCTTCTCCAGGGGAATAATCTATGATCTCTATCAGGCTGTACCTAGGGTGGGACAAACAATAGGGTCTGATTGTTTTTGATGACAGACAGCCTTCAGGCAAATAGCCTTCAAGCAGTTAACCTGCAAGCTTCTAGGAGCAACCAAGTGTTTCCAAGGAGCACCTTGAAATTGGAATTATTACAGCAGGCGGGGCATTGTGGGGAATAACTTTTACTTAGGAGAATGGGATGTATCTTTTACTGGGATGGATCTCCAACTCAAGAGTATGAAAGCCTCCTCCACCAGAATCTGCTTCCCAGATTCCTTAAATATGAGTGCAGGGAATTTCTCGGCATACATTTTCTACCCAGTTCTAAGTTTCCCACACCCCGGAAGGAAGTGGTTCTCAACCTTCTTAATGCTGTGACCCTTTAATACAGTTCCTCATGTTGTGGTGACCCCCCAACCATAAAATTATTTTCATTGTTACTTCATAACTGTCACGTTGCTACTGTTATGAATCAGGTGACCCCTGTGAAAGGGTCCCTTGACTCCCAAAGGGGTATCGACTCACAGGTTGAGAACTGCTGCCTTAAGGAAATAACTACAATCTTGGGTGAAGGAGGAAGTGTTTTTGCTTAGGGGCATTGAGTTTATTTTAATGGTGGTGGAACAATGTGGAAAGGGATATCAATAATGGTTGGACAACAAGAAGATATTAATCATTGGCACTGAATTATACATGTAGAAGTTATTGAATGGGGGAGGGGAAATAACTACAGAGCACTGAAAAAGGAACTCGTATTTAGTCTAGGCATTCAAATAAATAGAATATGAGCCACATGTAATTTAATTTTTTTGTAGCCACTTCAAAATATAAAAAGAAACATTAAATTAATTTTAATAATATACTTGACAACTCAATATATTAAAAGTATTATTTTGTGTGTGACTGGTATTAAAATTATTGATAAAATATTTCATACCCTTGTTTTCATACTAAGCCTTCCAAGTCTGGTGTGTATTTTACAACACATCCCAATTCAGACAAGCTACATTTCAAGGGCTGGTGGCTATCATACTGGACATCACAGGTCTAGGAGGGTCAGAGACTGAT